GTCCTTCATGTTTGTCCTTCATGTTTGTCCTTCATCCTTCAAATTCATGTTTGTCCTTCATGTTTGTCCTTCATCCTTCTATTTCATTCAAACTTCACAGGAATGTTTCTTTGGTTGTCACCTTTAAAAATTGTTAAAATAATTTAATTCCGTGCAGAACTCTGGTTTAAATTGGCACCGTCCTGGTGACTCATTGATTGTCCTTATATGTATATGTATATAGTAAAACTTAAAAAATCTTCTTAGATATTTAGCATGAAACATATTCTAGTGAGTGTCTACCTAGTTTGTTCAAATAAAAGCCCTGGAGTCAACATTGGCCCCGCCACAAGGGGGTCATTGATTTTCTTTATATCGATGGCTCAGCGCAATACTGGTCTAACTGCTATTTTTGAAAATGTTCAGGAGAGACAAAAAACTGATTTTATCCAAAAATACTTATATTAGAAAATATTTTTTTGCTATGTTAACATTAATTATAATAAGAAATAATGCCATTTATATAATTTTTTATTAAAGTGTTACAAATTGTGTATTTTAGAGTTAGACCTTTATTGCGCTGAAATTCTGAGCGCAATACAAGACTAACTTGAGTTAGACTCAAATTCCCTCTTGCAATTTGGTAAAAGTGGTACAAATATTTGAGTTAGACCTGTTTTATGTTAAATATTCTGATATAAATTTGAACAAAATTGTTTTGTTAATTTAAACATTGTTTAAAATATTTTGCAAGTCTGTAGAAGTACTTTACAAAGACTAAATCCTTTAATATTTTTCTATTAATATATCATGCTAGCTGACTTTAGATGAAAGTACACTTCTATAATTCTTCTTTTTCAATTTGTTTGAGATTCAGATTTACTTAAGATCTTTTGCAGATTATCTGTGCAATAAATTTGAATTCTAAACAAAATGCAAACAGTTTTGATTCATATACTGTTATGAACAGTAGTCATGAACAATGATGACTGACAATCCAGGTATATATTATGATATCATCAAAGTTTGAAAACAGGGATTAATGTACATTTTCTATAACTCACATTTGTACAAAGAAGAAACATTTTATTTTCTCAATGCACACCATTACCACCATTGGTGCTTAATTAAATGCTGTGATTCCAATATTACTGTTATGCGCTAAATCTTAATGAATTTAATGTATGTGGTCCTCTTTTCTGATGATATAATCATTTATAAATATCAAATATTTTCAAAAATGAAAGTCGCTGTTAGACCATTATTTTATTACAGATTTTGTATTTACTTTCTCAACTGTTTAGAGTATATTTTGAACGTGAAATGTGCAAATTTTATGACATGTTTTGCTGAAAACTGTGCATATCTTAAGAAAAGTGTTTCATTTTATATATCAAAGTCATTTTACCTCTAAATTTTGTCCAAATAACAAGAGGTTGTCAAACATATTTTAGAGAAAAAAGTAGGGCAGTACAACCCACTATCAGGGATTCATAGAACAAAGTATTGTTAGCACATGATATAATTCAGAATCATTTTTGTAAAGTTAGATGTGCTTTAAACACTTGCAACCAATTACTCATTCAGATATGAAAAGGCACACACCTGAAGCACCATGTACACACCTTAGATTGGCACTAAACAATTACAATGGATAAATGTTTGAATTTTCTCATTGACACTGATACCAAAAGCAGTTGATAGTAAATTACATTTTTAATTTCATAAAATTTGATAGGTAAAATTAATGGCTTTTAGATCTAAAATGAAACATTTTTATCAACTTATAGCTGTTTCTGCCGCATAAGTCAAAGAGTGTTTGACAATTGCACTCTCGAAAATTCAATGGAGCTGTGTGATGTAAAAAATTGTCAGAATACAAGAACTGAAAAGGTCATTATAATATATATTTTTTTATTTTTTCTGCACATATCACATCAGAAAGAAAGATATTGTATCAATAATGCTTTTATGTTCTCACCGCCGATCAGATCAACTTGATCGACCCGATCACATTAATTCCCCGATGAAGCCCGACCAAGCTGGACCTCTGCTCTTATGATCATTGCCAGATTTCCACCCGACCAGATCGTAATGATCGTAATCGAGAATTTGGAAGTTGCTCTATCTTCCAAATTGTAACAGCTAATGACACACCAACAGTTTACATCTATATACAGTTGACTCTCAATAAGTCAAAATCGCTTTACTCAAAATTCCGCCTTAGTCGAATAATTTCCAAAGTCCCGTCAAATTTCCTTCTTTATCTTTGTATTTTAACTCCGCTTAGGTCAAATTTTGACTTACCGAGACTCCTGTTTAGTCGAAAAGAAAATTTGGTCCCGTCAATTAAAGTACAACATATTTTCATCTCAATTAGTCGAAGTGTGAAAACAGCCGACTGATCAAAGGTCGGCGACATCATGGTTAGATGTTGTCACTCGTGATTTACACGTTTCATAGTAATTTTTAATTGCTGGTCATCATGTATTATTAACACGTCGTAAAAGTGGCTTTAATCCGTTTCAGGACTTAATTGGTTTTAACAGTTAGATAACTAAATTAAAATTTAATTACATTGCTTTAAGAAAGTTGACTCGTGCCAGTCTGACGGGTGTTAGTCAAATAACAGCCTAGGTATTGATGTGTGTTATCATCGTAAATAACATTTGTTTAATTAATTTGTACTTCCGGTTCACGATAGTTGCTTATCTCATTTTCGTCCGATGATCAATTAAATCAAATATAATTGTGTGTTTATGTTTGACTATTAATATACATGTATTAAATTTTGAAAGATATGTTTTTGTTCATTTATAATTTGTAGTTGTAAGTTATTTACCGTCATTTCAATGGTCAAATATTGCAGCATTGCCGCTAACAACAATAAAAACCTACTTCTTTACACATTCAATCAGGCACATGTATATACATGTACGAATGTCAACGTATAGCGGTAGTTCCACATTACTCGAATTCCGTTTCTCTCGAAGTAAAATGCCCAGTCCCTTGGATTTCGAGTTACTGAGAGTCAACTGTATTGTCTAGGTCATGTGAACTCGTGTATACATCAGGTATACATGATATTACCGATCTGTACACGATCATCTCGACTTCTACTCCAGCATTATCTGATCGCAACCCGACCAACTCGATCTCTGTTTGATCTATTGTCCAGAATAACTAGACTGCTACCCAACTGCTACATAATCACACACGATCGCTTCTGGATAGTTATTCGACCATACTGGACCAAACTAGATTGTTACACGATTTATTCTCGATCACTAGATCTTCTTCTCGATCACTATACGATTGCTTCTCGACACTTATCTACTCGATCGCTACATGTCAAAAAAATTCGGGTAGGAAGCCCGAGCCATGCCGACCAAGCTAAAGCGCCCCAACCACTCCCGATCACGCATGCAGACCGAGCTAGACTGGTACCCGATCGCTTGATCGAGTTGATCTGATTGGCGGTGAGATCACAGCATAATATAAGTATTGTGAAGAGTGTGATTTGCACATGTTGACGCTATATTGCAATTGTATTGCTGGAGTTCATAGTGTAAAGTTTACGTATAACTTTACTTGATTAAAGAGAGTGATACAGTAGTAGATACAAAATTTAAAAATAAAAGCCTAAGAACGCCCCAAAATAACCCTGAAATTGTTCATTGTGCTACAGGCTAAGTTTGATTTGGCAGTGAAACAATGTACAGTCTATCCCCTTACATGATCTTACGCAGAACACATAATTATAAATATGAAACAAAGTGTAAAACTAAGAATAAGGAAATCTCAGCATATGATTAAACAAAGGTCAAACTAAAAATAATGAATTTTTAGAGGGGATCAGAGGTTATGAATCCACTAGTGTAACACGTGTTATTTTCCATTTTAAATGTGTGCAAGAGAAACATACACTGTCTTTTACTAAATTGTACAAAAATGATAGTTTCAACTGCACTTTATGTTATCAAATAATACAGGATGAGTATGATGTAATGACTTTAAAGACAAAATAAATGTTTGTGACACTAAATTATTATTCATTTTTTTCAAGGTTACTTGTACATGAAATGCAATTGACTAATATTTTGCGATTAATACAAAGCACTGATGGAGGCAAATAATTTTTAGTGTTTTCATGAATTCTCACATTCTTTATAACACATTTCAATGGGATATGCATAATTATTATTCTGAAGTGAAACATTTAAGGTCTAACTCAAGCATTTTTGAGGAAATGTGATATATTTGACATAGCAATAAGAGACCAACTCAAGTTAGACCTATATTGCACTGACGGAATTGATCTACCTGAGATAGTCTTTTATTTTTAATGTAAATAAAAAAGGCAAAAAAAGCATAAATTACCCTAAACTTTTCACAGAATGTGTATTTGACCTTACATTATCAAAATATGTAAAAAAGTGATTTTTGGTAAAAATGTCACTTAGACCAGTATTGCGCTGAGTCATCGATATGTACATGTACATATCTTTTGGAACTGTTGTTTTCCCTTAGCAAAAGGCATTCAGTAATATTTTTACACATGCACTATTTCAGATACAAATATGAACTTTGTGATATCAGTTTTAGATTTAAATTTTATATCTGCTTTTGTTTATAGTTTACAATATTACTTGTTCCTTGTCATGCAGAATTTTTATATCAGGTGAGCGATTTCAGGGCCATCATGGCCTCTCTTGAATGGATTGTCTTCGTATTTGGACACAACAACCATTTGGACAAGACTTTCAAGAAGAACAGTTAGTACGTGACATTGACTCATAAATGGCATTGACTCCTATGGACAAACTTTTGATTTTTTTTCTGATTTTTAGCACACCTAAGCTGGTTTAATTGTAATGACCTAATCATGTATTCACAATAGAAAAAAACCCAAACACAACAACAACAACAAAACTACATTTTTTGCAATATTGATATGTTAATTTATTCTAGTTTGACTCACACTTCGAAGTGTCCATGACCTCGATTGTTTTCTTTTACAGATACACTGGGGATGAAACGTGTGTTTGATAACATTATTCAATACACAATACAATCAAATAATATAAAGAAACACAAATTACTGTGATCACTTGAAAAGAAAAAGTGATTCAATTAATAAACTTAAGTACACTGGGAATCAAAGGACACTGGGAACCAAAGGACACTGGGAACCAAAGAACACTGGGAACAAAAGTACACTAGGAACCAAAGGACACTGAGAACAAAAGTACGCAGGGAACCAAAGGACACTGAGAACCAAAGAACACTGGGAACCAAAGTACACTGGGAACCAAAGGACACTGAGAACCAAAGTACAAAGGGAACCCAAGGGCTCTGGGAACCAAAGTACACTGGGAACCAAAGGACACTGGGAACAAAAGTACACTGGGAACCAGAGCTGCATCAGTACTAAGGGTGTAGTACTTAAGTACCAGTACCAGTACTTGGTAAATTATGCAGTACCATTACCAGTACCAGTACTAGATTTTAGCTCGGTACTGCAGTACCAGTACTTTCTTTGGTGAAGTAATTAAGTATCTGTACCATTACTTTTATATATTCATCAAAGTTTGAATAAATACAGTGTCAAACAAATAATTGTAATTATTATTCAGCAAAGAAATAAAATCATAATTTACTTTAAAGCTGCATGCCTCCAGATGACCCAAAATATTTCAAGAAAATTAAACTTGGAAAAAAATTACTAAAACTTTGAGAAAAGTAAACAAATTAAAGATTCAAGTGATAATTTATATCTTATGTGCAATTAATGACTGTATATTGTAGTATTTATCACCATATTTCTACTGCGTTACTAACGCTATTTATGCATGTTTTGACCTCTTTTTGGTACTTTACGTGGATTTTAAGTGCCGTTTGTTATGTGTCAAGTACTTTCTTTGTTCATTTAACAATATTTTACCTTTAAATACATTTTCAAAATTTTCATGAAAATTAGGATGAATCTGGAGGCGTGCTGCTTTAAAGTTAACATAACATATTTACAACTTTATAGTTTTAACATACTTTTTACAAACAATACGAGTTTACAACATATATTCATGTCATATCTAATTGTTTAGTAACCAGTCAACTGTATAAATACAATGCAAACATCTTTCATTTAAAACACAACAGTCCTTTGTTGCCTTTCATACCTTCACACCTCTGTTCAATTTAGACCAAAGTAAATAACAACTTTTTATGGTGCTAACAATATCACTTGAAATGGTATTTTTTAGAATAGAAGAAATTAATTAGTGTTTATTTTGCTCTTTTACTAGAAAATACAAAGTAATAAAAGATTTTAATAAGGATATTTTAGGGTAAAGAGTTTTTGAGTCTGTTTATCTTAATTTAATTTTTAGCTCACCTGTCACAAAGTGACAGGGTGAGCTTTTGTGATCGCTTTTCGTCCGGCGTCCGTCCGTCCGTCGTCCGTCCGTCCGTAAACTTTTACTTTAAATGACATCTCCTCATAAACCACTAAGCCAATTTCATCCAAACTTCACAGGAATGTTCCTTTGGTGGTCACCTTTAAAAATTGTTCAAAGAATTTAATTCCATGCAGAACTCTGGTTGCCATGGCAACCGAAAGAAAAAACTTTAAATATCTTCTTTTAAAAAACCCTAAGAGCTAGAGCTTAGATATTTGGCATGGAACATCTTCTAGTGAGTGTCTACCAAGTTTGTTCAAATAAAAGCCCTGGGGTCAAAATTGGCCCCGCCCCAGGGGGTCATTGATTTTCCCTATATGCATATAGTAAAAACTTAAAAAATCTTCTTTTAAAGAACCCAAAGAGCTAGAGCTAAGATATTAGGCATGAAACATCTTCTAGTGAGTGTCTACCAAGTTTGTTCAAATAAAAGCTCTGGGGTCAAAATTGGCCCCACCCCAGGGGGTCATTGATTTTCCCTATATGCATATAGTAAAAACTTAAAAAATCTTCTTTTAAAGAACCATAAGAGCTAGAGCTTAGATATTTGGCATGAAACATCTTCTAATGAATGTCTACCAAGTTTGTTTAAATAAAAGCCCTGGGGTCAAAATTGACCCCACCCCAGGGGGTCATAGGTTTTCCCTATATGCATATAGTAAAAACTTAAAAAATCTTCTTTTAAAGAACCCAAAGAGCTAGAGCTAAGATATTTAGCATGAAACATCTTCTAATGAGTGTCTACCAAGTTTGTTCAAATAAAAGCCCTGGGGTCAAAATTGGCCCCGCCCCAGGGGGTCATTGATTTTCCCTATATGCATATAGTAAAAACTTAAAAAATCTTCTTTTAAAGAACTCAAAGAGCTAGAGCTAAGATATTTAGCATGAAACATGTTCTAATGGGTGTCTACCAAGTATGGTCAAATAAAAGCCCTGGGGTCAAAACTGGCCCCTTCCGGGGGGGTCATTGATTTTCCTTATATGTGTATAGCAAAAACTTAAAAATCTTCTTTGAAAAAACCCAAATAGCTAGAGTTTAGATATTAAGCATGAAACATCTTCTAATGAGTGTCTACAAAGTTTGTTCAAATAAAAGCCCGGGGGTCAAAACTGGCCCTGCCCCAGGGGTGTCATTGTTTTTAACTATATGTGTATAGTAAAAACTTTAAAAATCTTCTTTTAAAAAACCCAATGAGCTAGAACTTAGATGTTTAGCATGAAACATCTTCTTATGGGTGTCTACCAAGTCTGTTCAAATAAAGAAATAAAAGCCCTTGGGTAAAAATTGGCCCGAGGGTGGGGGGGGGGGGGGCTATATACAGGTGAGCGACCTCAGGGCCATCATGGCCCTCATGTTACCTTAAGTCTTTGGTGTTTTTTATGATGAATACTATGTTAACATTTGAAGGAATATTGCAGCAAATCTTTAGGTTTGATAACTTACTTTTTCATAAAAATAAATTATAGTTAATGTAATATACAGCTTTATTTTATGAAAAAAATTGATGTTATTTTTAACTTTTATCAAAACCAAAGGTACTCGGTAATGCAGTAGCAGTACCACTTTTTAAGACAGTAATGCCGTACCAGTACCAGTAGTAGCAAAATTTTGTAAGAGTAATTCAGTATCAGTACCAGTACTTGCAAAATCGCTGCAGTACATACTGCAGTACCAGCACCAGTACCAGTAATGCAGCTCTGCTGGGAACCAAAGAACACTGGGAACCAAAGGACACTGGGAACCAAGAACACTGGGAACCAAAGAACACTGGGAACCAAAGTATACTGGGAAGATTCTCGTCTGCTTAAAGACAGTATAGGTTTACTGCTATTGCTTGATACCTTACAAGAAACTGATTTAGCAACTGAGTGTCTAGTATTGGTACGTCTATTATTGGTACCCGACAAGAGTCTTTTTAAGCTAAATAGGGTGTCTAGTATGATACCAAGGTGTTTACCAAAGAATATTTTGATAGCCCCTTAGAATACATTGTGTTAAAAGATTTGTGTTGTTCGAATTTGTTTTGTTTGCATATGTGCAGTGATCATTTAAAGACAATTCTGGGAGAAGTGCAATTTATTTTCCAACAGTAGCGGGACTGAGAATCTTTTAATTAAAAAGGATGCTTAGACATGTTAGATGGTAAAAGGAACAAATTAATGAAAAAAATAGGTTACTGTCCCACTTTTTGAGAAACCTGCCTCATTTTGTTACTTTTAGTTGGAAAGACAGTTTGTTTTCATTTTAAGATCTATAATGCTCAAATTTGATGCTTGAAAATACTGATACATGTACTTGTTATACAGTAATTTTAGAAAATAGAATAAATATCTTATGAGTACACACAGAACATTTATGTTATGCTTTCAACTATACAGACTAAAGATAAACCCAGTATAGATAGTGAATAGTGTCATTAAAAACTGACATTTCTTTAAAGGGACTCCACTTAGATTCTTTAACATGAAGGGACCGAAAATATTTTTTCAGGACTTTTATATTGCTTCATGAAGGTCTTGACCGATAATTCGTGTGCAAAATTTTAGATCATTTGTTTCCTTCCGCTTGCCTGGTATAATCAATGTTATTGCGCAAATTGACCCCAGAATGAAAAGCCTTGAAACGCTTTTTTTCTCAAATCGGCCGAAAAAAATGCATAGAAAAAACCGATTATTTATTTAGTGCTGAGTATATTCACTTATTTTCTATTGCATAGTTTTCCATTTTAAATGCACTAGATGATTGATGTAAGAACTTCCAATTTTATTATTTTGGCTATAAGACCTCACTGGAGTTCCTTTAAAGAAAGTACCAAATAAACATGCCCATTGAAACTTTGTGCAGCTTTCCATACATAGTTTGTGCATTCTTTTATGCAAATTCAATATATTCAGTAAAATTTTCTTACTCTTCAATCCATGTTAGACTTTTGTCAGCACTAAAAGTATTATACCTTAAGATGAGATTTAAGTAAATGATTTCATATTCAAATATTTTAATATTTATTTCGTTTGCTTTTACATGTTGGCATTTCCTTAAGGACTTTATCGAAGTTTTAATGTCCTGCCTTATAAAATAATATGTCCACATGGAAGTACACCTTCATTTGCAATGACAAAAAAAGTTTTAAAGCTGCATTAAATAAATTAGTAAAGATATATTGCCGTTGGCCTAAAACCAAAAATTCTACAGTTTCATTAACCTTTTTAACAGCATTGTTGTAAATTTTATCAAATATTGTTAATAAATTAGGATTTTAAATGGAAAACCCCATGGTAACACTTAAGCTCATATACACATTTTAAATGAAGACTATATATAATCAGCTCGTGTATGCACTACGTCATAGTGTTAAAGTTGCTATCCGGAACTTGTGCAAAAACTGTTAACCGTTTCAGCTTCACGGTACATTAGGCCTGGCGTTCAGAAAAAAAGTGATCATCTAATAAAAAAGATTAAATTTGAAGAAAACATCTGTTACAATGCGGAAATATACCGTCAAATTAGGACTACTATATTTACTTATATATATCCATATTTGTATATTGATGTACGAATGATCCGAAGGCGGAGTTTCTCATGCAAACAGAAATTGTACTTCCGATTTCGCTACAATGAAGTTGCAAATTTTTATGATTATAAAACTCATTTTGGTTGTCTGGACACCAAAGTAGGATCTGGAGTCGATGATAAACCTAATTTATTAATGAAATGTCGCTATTTCTGTTTTTTATGAAATTTATTAAAAGCAGCTTTAACATACCTAATACTGTATTCTTAGAAATTATCATGATTTATGAAAACATAATAACTAAGTTTTTCGGGACAAAATATTTATAGAGTCACAAGGCATTGCTAATGACAGATCCTCATTTTTTATGGTTTTATATCATAAAAACGATGCTCAAATGATGATTTATCAATATTGTAAGTTCCAAAAAAAGATATTACCGAATTAACATTTCATGTTAATACATTCATGAAATTTTGATTTTAAAACATCCCAGAGTAAAAAAATGCGTGTGCCCTAATCGAGAAAACAATGGGCGAAACTATATAAGATTGAATGTTGAAAAGGGACAGGTTATGAAGCCTGCATATGATAAGCTGCCAAAAGACACATTTAAAAAGCAGGTCCATATCCTAAGTGTGACTAAACAGTATACTCGTGAGGAATAAAACACCCTTGATTGAATGTACGGGCGACTTTTTACGGCCTCCACACGGCACAAACAACGCTGATGTGGCGATAAAATAGAGAGAAAACAACAAAATATAAAGTAATGCTTGTACAGTATTTTATTCAGAGTTTTTGTTACATTCCGGTCAGTTTATTGGATATATGATAAGTTTCCGTTATCATTTTCGAGAAAACTTTCCCTGATACACGGGGCAACACAAAGTAAACGTGCACTTGAAATGGTTTCCACATTCTGTGTCATCATTACAATGCAGATAATCACCGTTTGCCGTCTTTTTAGGATCTACAAATCTGCCGCTTACACTTCAACATTCTGGCCCTGAAAATGAAGTAAGTAATTTGTTATAAGTAACCTGAAATATTGAATTATAAGAACTAAATTTCTGCATGGAAAAAATAATACAACTTAAAGATTGGTATGACAAGAAACCCGACACAAATATTTTCAATTATTTCTGCAGATGTATGTATAGCTGATAAGATGGGCAAATGTATGTCTAAAGTATATATAAGCTGCAATGAGTCTTCTGTTCTTGATTACACAAACGCTTAAACGATAATAGCGCTGAATTTTCGCCTGTTCGCGTGCGACCTCGACTCCATGCGACTCAAAATGATACAAGTAAAATGGTTTCCTGCGGGGAACATTTTTAATGATACAAAGCTATTTCATTTAACTATTTTCAACATTGTTTTGGGAGAGGGGAATAAATAAACTTTTGTATCAGGAATATAGTTGACAATAATCGATCAAAATAGAAGAAGGTCTTTGGAAACTGGTGACCATTGAACATGAAACAAATATTTCTTTTCAAGAAAATGATTAAATAGGCCTACCATTTTATGAATAATTCCAAGCAAAAAAAAAAAATAAAGTTAACATACAAGTTTACGCAGAAAATATCTCTATTTATTATGGCAGATGCCACTACGAATATTTTAATTTTGTAGATTTTCAGTATAAACAATTTATTGTTTGTAAAATTTGAGATACATATATTCAAGAAACAATGATAATTTTCGAATATATCATTCAAGTTTTTCCACCTTAAACAGTAAATTAATTATAGAAAATTAGAAATATCACGTAATAGTTTTTTTGTTCTTATGTGTAATTCTGACTAATTCGCTAGAGGTAATTCCGTAACGTACCGATAAACGGTATTTAGCCAGGTTTTCGAAAAGGTCAATTAACCAATCGTGTACGGTTTACAGATCACATGCTCCTCCATGTACCGAAAACAGGTCACGTGCTCCTCCATGCGCGTACCAATACCCTGCGGTCTCCAGACCGCAGGGAATAAGAATAACCAAAAAAGCAAGAAGTGTATTGCTGTTATGCGTCCACATATAGCATACATTAAAACATGGTGGTAACCTCTTTTTCTGGGTTACTTGAAATTATGTTATGAGCTCTAGTCGCAATACGTTGATATGATAATATGTTGTATATGAAAATTAGTAATTGAAACGCGTATTACTTACTTTTGCAGACGAATTTTGTGTCAACCGAGCACACCCTTATTTTACTAGGATTAAGTTCGGTGATTTTATTCAGGTTCGGGCATACACATCTACCACCATCTCCA